GCGGGAGGAGGAGCCCCTGCACGAGACGATCCTCCACATGATCCGGCGCCGCAAGTGGACGACCCGCATGGAGAACTCGGTGCGCCTGCTCTGCCCGGCGCTCTCGGCGCCGGTCGTGCACGGCGTGATCTCCGCCGCGGCCGCCGCGGACCGCGCCGACCTCGCGCTCCAGTTCTTCCGCTTCGCGTACCGCCGGGCCGGGTTCCGCCCGGAGCCGGCCACCTTCGCGCTGCTCGTCCCGGTCCTCGCCGCCAAGGGCATGCTCAACCACGCCCGCTGCATCCTCCTCGAGACCATGCCGTCCTTCTCCGTCGCCCCCGACGAGGCCACCGTGGCCGCCCTCGTCGCCGCCTACGGCCGGGCCGGCATCCCGCAGGAGGCCGTCAAGCTCTTCCGCCTCATGCCCGACCTCGGCATCACCCGCACCGCGCTCTCCTACAACGCCGTGCTCAAGGCCATCCTCTGCCGCGGCCGCGAGGCCATGGCCAGGCGGATCTACAACGCCATGATCGCCGACGGCGTCGCCCCCACCCTGTCCACCTACAACACGCTCATCTGGGGGTTCGGCCTGTGCAAGAAGATGGAGTCCGCCGTCAGGGTGTTTGGGGACATGAAGGGCCACGGGGTGACACCGGATGTGACCACTTATAACACCCTGCTCAATGCCTGGGTGCGGAAAGGCGATCTGGAGAGTGCACGGAAGGTGTTTGATGAAATGCCCGGAGCTGGGTTTGAGAGGAACTCGATCTCATACAATGTCATGATCAAGGGATATGTTGAGGCGCGTAAGGTCGAGGAGGCAGTTGTGTTGTTCACGGAGATGGGGGAGAAGGGTCTGAGGTTGAGCGAGAAGACGTTTGCTGCGTTGATGCCGGGACTTTGCGATGATGAGGGGAAGGCTGCGGAAGCCCGGAAGGCAGTGGCGGATATGGCGGAGCGACGACTCACGCCAAAGGACAAATCGGTGTTTCTGAGGCTCGTGTCGACATTGTGCAAAGCTGGGGATTTGGATGGGGCGTTGGAGGTGCATAAGAAGAGTGGGCAGTTCAAGCATGTCCTGGTGGATCCGAGGCAGTACGGTGTGTTGATGGAGAGCTTGTGTGCAGGTGGTAAGTGTGATGGTGCTGTGCAGGTGCTCGATGAGCTTCTAGAGAAGGGCACACTGCTTAGCCCAAAGAGTCCAGTGATGGAAGCACCGGCTTATAATCCAGTGATTGAGTATTTGTGCGACAATGGGAATACCAACAAGGCCGAGACGTTCTTCAGGCAGCTGATGAAGAAAGGTGTGGATGACAAGTCTGCATTCAACAGTCTTATCCGTGGGCATGCAAAGGAAGGTGCGCTAGAGGCCGCAAAGGAGATTCTTGCCATTATGACACGCCGTGGCGTCCCTACTGACCCCCACTCGCACGCACTGCTTATTGATAGCTTCCTGAAGAAGAACGAGCCAGCTGATGCAAAGACGGCACTGGACAGCATGATGGAACATGGTCACTTACCAAGGCCAGCTCTGTTCCAGTCTGTCATGGCGGCACTTTTCAACGATGGCCGGGTTCAGACCGCAAGCAGGGTCATGAAGAGTATGATCGAGAAGGGGATTACCGAGAACATGGATATGGCACATAAGATCGTGGAGGCTCTCTTCATGAGGGGTCATGTGGAGGAGGCGATTGGTCGCGTCAATCTGATGGTGGAAAATGGCTGTATGCCTGATCTGGATAAGTTGCTAGCTGCCCTTTGCGAGAAGGACAAAGTGATGGAGGCACAAAAGCTGGCTGATTTTGCGTTGGACCGGGACTTTGAAGTTAGCTTCTCAACCTATGACAGAGTCCTGGAAGCCCTGTACACTGAGGAGAAGACATTGCCAGCCTACTCCATGCTCTGCAAGATCAAGCACAAAGGAGGCGTTGTAGATCAGAAGGGTTGCGATGCTTTGATGGATAGCTTAAAAGCTGGAGGATACTCAAAGCAAGCTGACATTTTGTCTAGGATCTTGGTGGAGAATGGATCATCAATATCCAAGAGGGGCAAGAAGTCTGCCATGGGTGCATAGGGAGGTTTCTGGGTTCATGGAGAGGTCCTATTTTCCTTTCTGAACTGAAGAAAACAGTGGTTTGTTTGTTTTATTAATGCTTGTCCCATCTGTCAGATTGGGATTTTCATCCCAGGAGACAAGAAGAATAGGTAAATTTACCTTTCTCACGAAACCCCTGATTTAATCATGTGCCATTTTCTTAGAAAAGAAACATGTTTAATAATTGAGGCAGATGTACTTGTTATGAATTTAGTTCAGAAATTACATCTATGACATGCTTGGAATATGTATGTGCTATGAGCAGTGGCGGAAATGCACTGGTGATGCGTGTTATTGGCATGATGCATCTCTTGTTCAGCGATGTGCTTGGAATATGTTTTGCATATTCGTTTCCATGCCCATTTTAAGTTGCCTGTATTCCCATTTTGGTCCCTCTTTGTTTCTTTCCTCAGTTGCGCTGCTCCATGATCTCCCTGGTTTTTCCGCCGTCTTCAAATTTTTCTCGTGTGCAATAAAAATCCGGCAACATTATTTTTGCTCCACCTGTGCTGTCAACTTGCAGCTTCACCTCCCAACTTCTTGGATTCTTGCTGGTTTGGTTGCATAGCTAGTCTCTTGCCTTCAGGTGTGATGTGCCTTGTGTTTCGTAGCAGATGCAGGTTCTGGACCTTCCAATTTGCATAGCACGGTCCGGGTCCACCACAGCATCACGAGATATTTCTACAGGAATTTCCATTAGGAGCATACCACTACCATTTTTGCTTTAGCTCATGTGTCACTGCTGATCTGCTTATAATCCATGCATACATCCAAGCCTGTGGCGTTGTCACTGTTGGTGCATCGCTGCCATGTGTAACATGCTTTTACTTCATCGTCTATAAGTGGCTGTAGTAAAGACAGCCCAGGGTTTTGGTTTGTTTTGGCATGATGCCAAAGGAAGGCGTTGATTCACTTTGCAGGCTGTTGTCATTCCACCTTGTTAATTGCATGGATACTGATAACTGATGGTCTGATGTTGACAACCTCTTGGTTTGTTTGATCTCTTGATATTTTGTTGGAATGGTGGAGTGTCAGATTAAAATTTATGCAGTAAGATAATATTTAGGCTTTTTTCTTTTTTCTTTTGCGGGGATAATATGTATACTTTGACCCATTTCTGTTAGAAGCGTTAATACTCTGTTCTTGATTTGCCTCCAGACTACATAGCTTGTGCTCAAGCCTAGCAGTGTTGATTTGACCATTAATCAGTAGTAGTACATAATGTTTGAACTTTGAAGTGGTGGAAAAGCTACTCATTTTTTTGCCCTTTAAACTCTGGTTGCCAACCCTGATTCATCCTGTGCTAACTTCTTGGTTATCGCCCTCATTGGTGCTTACCCCGCCTCTATCCGTGGCCCAGGGCGTGCTGGATAACCGAACATCCGGTATATGTGGCTCACTGCCAACCGGTCCGGATGCCCGCAAGATGTCGACACGCAGACCGTTGAGAAGTGCGCGATGTTAGGCCTAGAGCCAAACAGCTCTGAAGCTGCACGCCAGCACTAGCCCTCGCTGGTGATGGCGTGATCACGGTGGTTGCACACCGCATGCCCAAGACTTTCAACGTCCCTTCAATTATCTCTGCACGCCATCATTTGCAGGCTCCCGAGCTGAATAGAAGCATTTTCGATGGCTTTAATGCACTACTTTACGACCCCGGGGCCGTGGAATCTGACAGCAATTTGAGGGAAGTGACGAGTATAAGTTTGAGCCTAGCCATAGCCATATGTTCGCCTAACCATAATCTTGGTCCATATCATGTTTTTGTCACTTACTTTGTGCCTAGCCATAATCTAGTTTAGTATTTGGCACTAGACGCATAACCATAAACTTTGATCCATATCATGTTTTTGTTTATTTGTTATTGCAAAAGTTCATGAACCGTTGTCACAAGTTAGTCTCTGGTGATAGATTTGCACACCCTATCGTAAAAAACAATTATGTTTTAGAAACAATACCAATTTCCCTCTTAGGGGGTGTTAAACACCTACCGCCAGGCTTTGTTGGCGGTTGGCTTGCACTACCTACCACATCACACCATACGTTTGCCGGTAGGCCGTTAATGCTCGTCAGCCCCATCCAACAGCCGTCGTCGATTGCCATTAACCCTACCGACCCCGGTGGTAAGAAAAGAATGAGATCCCGAAACTTTTTTGAATTAGGGTTAAATTTTGCTCAACTTCCCAAAAAAGTCAAAGCACTGAATTTGGCCAGTGATTGCACGTACCACATCATCAATCACAAGGTATTTGTACAGGAAACCACAATGTTCCCGTCCCCGTATGCATGCAGGCGCGCGCGTGCTGTTGTCACTGTCAGTGCCAGTCGCTGAGCCGCAACGTACGAGACGACGAAGCGCAAGAACGCGATCCACCGTCCCGTGTTTCTTGCCACTCCCGTCCCATTCAACTTCCCATCCATACACATGCAAATCTACAGTACTATTGTACGTTAGAAAAAGATAATCTCTACTGTCTAAAAGAAACGGAGTGTTCCGTTTCCCCTTTTACGTTGCCCGCTCTTCGTCCAACCTCT